TGACGATGATGATGATGACGATGATGATTACGATGATGATGATGACGACACTTCTGATGATGACGATGACGATGATGACGACACTGCTGATGATTACGATGACGATGATGATGACGATGATGATGATGACGATGATGATGACGATGATGATGATGACGACACTGCTGATGATGACGATGATGATGACGACACTGCTGATGATGACGATGACGATGATGATGACGATGATGATGATGACGACACTGATGATGATGACGATGATGACGATGATGATGATGACGACACTGCTGATGATGACGATGATGATGATGACGATGACGGCAGTGATGATGATGACGATGATGATGATGACGATGATGAAGATGATGATGATGATGATGACGATGATGACGATGATGATGATGACGATGATGATGATGACGATGATGAAGATGACGATGATGAAGATGACGATCAAGATGATGATGATGATGGTGATGATGATGGTGATGATGATGGTGAGGATGATGATGATGACGATGATGATGATGACGATGATGATTACGATGATGATGATGACGACACTTCTGATGATGACGATGACGATGATGACGACACTGCTGATGATGACGATGACGATGATGATGACGATGATGATGATGACGATGATGATGACGATGATGATGATGACGACACTGCTGATGATGACGATGATGATGACGACACTGCTGATGATGACGATGACGATGATGATGACGATGATGATGATGACGACACTGATGATGATGACGATGATGACGATGATGATGATGACGACACTGCTGATGATGACGATGATGATGATGACGATGACGGCAGTGATGATGATGACGATGATGATGATGACGATGATGAAGATGATGATGATGATGACGATGATGACGATGATGATGATGACGATGATGATGATGACGATGATGAAGATGACGATGATGAAGATGACGATCAAGATGATGATGATGATGGTGATGATGATGGTGATGATGATGGTGAGGATGATGATGATGACGATGATGATGATGACGATGATGATTACGATGGCGATGGTGGTGATGATGATGGTGGTGATTGTGGTGATGGTGGTGATGGTGGTGGTGATGGTGATAATGGTGGTGATGGTGATGATGTAGTGTATAGTGCAGTGTATAGTGCAGTGTATAGTGCAGTGTATAGTAGTGTAGTGTGTAGTGTAGTGTATAGTATAGTGTATAGTAGTGTATAGTGTAGTGTATAGTGTAGTGTATAGTGTAATGCATAGTGTAGTGTATAGTAGTGTAGTGTGTAGTGTAATGTATAATTTAGTGTATAGTGTAGTGTATAGTGTAGTGTATAGTGTGTAGTGTATAGTGTAGTGTATAGTGTAGTGTATAGTGTATAGTAGTGTATACTGTATAGTGTAGTGTATAGTGTAGTGAGTAGTGTAGTGTATAGTGTAGTGTATAGTAGTGTATACTGTATAGTGTAGTGTATAGTGTAGTGTATAGTAGTGTATACTGTATAGTGTAGTGTAGTGTGTAGTGTAGTGTATAGTAGTGTATAGTGTAGTGTATAGTGTATAGTGTAGTGTGTAGTGTAGTGTATAGTAGTGTATAGTGTAGTGTATAGTGTAGTGTATAGTGTAGTGTGTAGTGTATTGTATAGTAGTGTATAGTGTAGTGTATAGTGTAGTGTATAGTGTAGTGCATAGTAGTGTATAGTGTAGTGTATAGTGTAGTGTTTAGTAGTGTATAATGTAGTGTATAGTGTAGTGTATAGTGTAGTGTATAGTGTAGTGCATAGTGTAGTATATAGTGTAGTGTATAGTGTAGTGTATAGTCGTGTATAGTGTAGTGTATAGTGTAGTGTATAGTGTAGTGTACAGTGTAGTAGTGTATAGTGTAGTGTATAGTAGTGTATAGTGTAGTGTATATTGTAGTGTAGTCTATAGTAGTGTATAGTGTAGTGTATAGTGTAGTGTATAGTGTAGTGTTTATTGTAGTGTATAGTAGTGTATAGTGTGTTAGTTTATAGTGTAGTGTATAGTTGTGTATAGTAGTGTAGTCTATAGTGTAGTGTATAGTGTAGTGTATAGTATAGTGTATAGTAGTGTAGTAGTGTATAGTGTAGTGCTTAGTGTAGTGTATAGTAGTATATAGTGTAGTGTATAGTGTAGTGTATAGTGTAGTGTATAGTGTAGTGTATAGTAGTTTATAGTGTAGTGTATAGTGTAGTGTATAATGTAGTGTATAGTAGTGTATAGTGTAGTGTATAGTGTAGTGTATAGTGTAGTGTATAGTAGTGTATAGTGTAGTGTATAGTAGTGTATAGTGTAGTGTATAGTGTAGTGTATAGTGTAGTGTATAGTGTAGTGTATAGTGTAGTGTATAGTAGTGTATAGTGTAGTGTATAGTGTAGTGTATAGTGTAGTGCATAGTAGTGTATAGTGTAGTGTATAGTGTAGTGTATAGTAGTGTATAGTGTAGTGTATAGTAGTGTATAGTGTAGTGTATAGTAGGGTAGTAGTGTATAGTGTAGTCTATAGTGTAGTGTATAGTAGTTTATAGTGTATAGTGTAGTGTATAGTATAGTGTATAGTGTAGTGTATAGTAGTGTATAGTGTAGTGTATAGTGTAGTGTATAGTAGTGTATAGTGTAGTGTATAGTGCAGTGTATAGTGTAGTGTATAGTGTAATGTATAGTGTAGTGTATAGTGTATAGTAGTGTATAGTGTAGTGTATAGTGTAGTGCATAGTAGTGTATAGTGTAGTGTATAGTGTAGTGTATAGTAGTGTATAGTGTAGTGTATAATGTTGTGTGTAGTGTAGTGTGTAGTGTAGTGTATGTGTATAGTGTAGTGTATAGTATAGTGTATAGTGTAGTGTATAGTGTAGTGTATAGTGTAGTGTATAGTGTAGTGTATAGTAGTGTAGGGTATAGTGTAGTGTATAGTGTAGTGTATAGTGTTGTGTGTAGTGTAGTGTGTAGTGTAGTGTATGTGTATAGTGTAGTGTATAGTATAGTGTATAGTGTAGTGTATAGTGTAGTGTATAGTGTAGTGTATAGTGTAGTGTATAGTGTAGTAGTTTAGTGTAGACCTGGGGGAGGGATCAGAGTGGGAGGATTGAGGGGGTGTGGTGAGCAGAAACTTGGTTCGTCATTCTCACAACAGCAGCAGCTGCAGCAGTATCAGCAGTGTCAACAGTATCAGCAGCTGCATCAGTATCAGGAGTGTCAACAGTATCAGCAGCTGCAGCAGTATCAGCAGTGTCAACAGTATCAGCAGCTACAGCAGTGTTAACAGTGTCAACAAATCAGCAGCTGCAGCAGTATCAGCGTGCTCTGCTAAGTCCATTCAACATAGAAGGTTCGTATGTACGCATGTTGTATGTTAGTTTGTTGAACGTATGTATGTTGTATGATTGCTGTATGCGACGTACGGTGCAGTAGAAGTTCAACACGCACTAATATCCACTATAATACACTAATAAACACTATACTACACTAGCAAACACTACACTACTATATACTACACTACTATACACTACACTACTATAGACTACACTACTATACACTACTATACACTACACTACTATACACTACACTACTATATACTACACTAATATACACTACACTACTACACACTACACTACTATACACTACACTACTATACACTACACTACTATACACTACACTATACACTACACTACTATACACTACTATACACTAAACTACTATTTACTACACTACTATACACTACACTGCTATACACTACACTACTATATACTACACTATACATTACACTACTATACACTACACTATACACTACTATACACTACACTACTATTTACTACACTACTATACACTACACTACTATACACTACACTACTATACACTACACTATACACTACACTACTATACACTACACTACTATACACTAAACTACTATATACTACACTATATACTACACTACTATACACTACACTGCTATGCACTACTATACACTACACTACTATTTACTACACTACTATACACTACACTACTACACACTAAATTATACACTACTATACACTACACTACTATACCCTACACTATACACTACACTAATATACACTACACTCATTTACACTACTATCCACTACACACTACTATACGCTACATTATACACCACAATACAGTACACTAATAAACAGTACACTATACACTAATATACACTACACTATACACTTCACTATACACTACTATACATTAAACTACTATACACTACACTATTCACTACACTATACACTAATAAACACTACACTACACTACAATATACACTACACTATACACTACTATACACTACACTATCCACTGCTATACACTAAACTACTATACACTACACTAAAACACCACACACTGTTAACTACCTCGCCTGGTATGCAGGGGGTCGTGGGTTTGAGATGTTAACTACCTTCTACAGATGCCACTGGTTCTTCACGTTCAGCAGATGTAGATGCCACTGGTTCTTCACGTTTTGCAGATGTAGATGCCACTGGTTCTTCATGTTCTGCAGATGCCACTGGTTCTTCACGTTCTGCAGATGTAGATGCCACTGGTTCTTCACGTTCTGTAGATGTAGATGCCACTGGTTCTTCACGTTCTGTAGATGTAGATGCCACTGGTTCTTCACATTCTGTAGATGTAGATGCCACTGGTTCTTCACATTCTGTAGATGTAGATGTCACTGGTTCTTCATGTTCTGCAGATGCCACTGGTTCTTCACGTTCTGTAGATGTAGACGCCACTGGTTCTTCACATTCTGTACATGTAGATGCCACGGGTTCTTCACGTTCTGTAGATGTAGATGCCACTGGTTCTTCACGTTCTGTAGATGTAGATGCCACTGGTTCTTCACGTTCTGTAGATGTAGATGTCACTGGTTCTTCACGTTCTGTAGATGGGAATCCTGAGCAATAAATGGCAACATTAATTGTAACATTTTCATTGGTGTATGTCTTTGACAGACTGGGTCCCGGCCATAGGAATGGTGACACTCGGAGCGGCTGGCCAGTTATGGACGGCGCTTTTCGTATCTGTGGGTACGTGAGCTATCATTCGTTCACTCGTTTACTCATTCACTCGCTCACTCATTCACTCATTCACTCACTAACTCATTCACTTACTCATTCACTCATTCACTCGTTCACTCATTCACTCATTCACTCACTAATTCACTCTTCTCACTCATTCACTCATTCACTCGTTCACTCATTCACTCATTCACTTATTCACTCGCTCACTCATTCACTCATTCACTCGTTCACTCATTCACTCTTCTCACGCATTCACCCTCATGCATACCCCCTCACTCATTCACTCATTCACTCACTAACTCATTCACTCACTCATTCACTCATTCACTCACTAACTCATTCACTTACTCATTCACTCGTTCACTCATTCACTCGTTCACTCATTCACTCGCTCACTCATTCACTCGTTCACTCATTCACTCGCTCACTCATTCACTCATTCGCTCGCTCACTCATTCACTCTTCTCACTAATTCACTCATTCCCTCTCACTCATTCACTTAACAAAACACCGTCATTCATTCTCACTGAATGCCTCTCAGTAATTCACGCTCACTCAACTTATTGGTTTTTTCGGTAAAGTCACGTAGAATGGAAACAAAATAATAAAAATAAAACAAAATAAAATAAATAATAATTAAGATGAAAATAGAATGAAATAAAAAAATAATTAAAAATTGAAATTTTATTCTTTTATTTTCCATTCCACGTGTTGACTTTACCGAAAGAATCAGGAAGCTGAATCCCTGCAGTAACGAAAGCTTCAAATCTAAGTTCACCCTCACTCATTCACTCATTCACTCATTCACTCACTCATTCACTCATTCACTCATTCACTCACTCATTCCCTCATTCACTCACTCATTCACTCATTCACTCATTCACTCTTCTCACTCATTCACTCATTCACTCACTCATTCACTCACTCATTCACTCATTCACTCACTCATTCACTCATTCACTCACTCATTCACTCTTCTCACTCATTCACTCATTCACTCACTCATTCACTCATTCACTCATTCACTCACTCATTCACTCTTCTCATTCATTCACTCATTCACTCATTCACTCACTCATTCACTCATTCACTCACTCATTCAATCATTCACTCTTCTCATTCATTCACTCATTCACTCACTCATTCACTCATTCACTCACTCATTCACTCATTCACTCATTCACTCACTCACTCATTCACTCACTCATTCACTCATTCACTCACTCATTCACTCACTCACTCTTCTCACTCATTCACTCATTCACTCATTCACTCACTCATTCACTCATTCACTCACTCATTCACTCACTCATTCACTCATTCACTCACTCATTCACTTATTCATTCATTCACTCATTCACTCATCATCATGCACACCATACGAAGTAGTTAACATCTCACCGAATCCGGGATCAAACCCACGACCTCCTGTACACCAGGCGAGGTAGTTAACATCTCACAAGGTCAGAGGATCGAACCCACGACCTCCTGTACACCAGGCCAGGTAGTTAACATCTCTCAAGGTCCGGGATCGAACCCACGACCTCCTGCGTACCAGGCGAGGTAGTTAACATCTCCTAGCACACTGCAACGCCCGGTTTAAAACCACGGAAGAAGAGTGGCAGGGAGATAGAGAGGAAAGAGGAAGACGTGGACTGAGAAATCGAAGCCAAACCACAGACAAAAGTTTCGGGAAGCGTCCAAAACAAAGTTGGTCAACGAATTATCGCGTTGCACGATCAGGCGCTGTACACACTACACTGTACACTACACTGTACACTACACTGTACACTACACTATACACTACACTACACACTACATCATACACTACACTATACACTACACTGTACACTGCACTATACACTACACTATACACTACACTATACACTACACTACACACTACACACTACACTATACACTACACTAAACATTACACTATACACTACTATACACTACACTATACACTACACTATGCACTACACTATACACTACACTACTATACACTACACTATATACTACACTATACACTACACTATACACTACACTATACACTACACTGTACACTACACTATACACTACACTATACACTACACTATACACTACACTATACACTACACTACTATACACTACACTACACACTACACACTACACTATACACTACACTGTACACTACACTTACACTACACAATACACTACACTGTACACTACACTACACACTACACTATACACTACTATACACTACTATACACTACACTATACACTACACTATACACTAGTGCTGTACTAGTACACTACACTATACACTACACTATACACTACACTATACTATACACTACACTACACACTACACTATACACTACACTATACACTACACACTGCACTATACACTACACTACACACTACACTATACTATACACTACACCCTACACTACACTATACACTACACTACACACTACACTACACTACACACTACACTATACACTACACATTACACTACACACTACACTATACACTACACTATACACTACACTATACACTACACTATAAACTACACTATACACTACACTATACACTACACTTGACACTACACTATACACTACACTATACACTACACTACTATACACTACACTATGCACTACACTATACACTACACTATATACTACACTATACACTACACAACTGTGGTGGCCGTGTGTGGTGGTGGTGCTAGAGGCTACCTGGGGGATCTTTGTCTTTGTGCTACTAACAGCCACTTGCCCCTACAGCCCTGCTAGAGGCTACCTGGGGGATCTTTGTCTTTGTGATACTAACAGCCACTTGCCCCTACAGCCCTGCTAGAGGCTACCTGGGGGATCTTTGTCTCTCTGTGTGTGTGTGGGCTCAGAATTCCGTGCGTCGCTTTGCCCTGAGATTTTTGTTGCTATTTGACCGCAGAATTTCAGCCGAAAACCACGTCTCATGAACCATGATAATAAACTTCCTGCGTGGAATTTCACAAACCTCACGCCACCCCCGACACGCTCTCAGGAAGCCCAGATTGTGAACTCCCTCAAGAGGATGATGGCGACGATGATATCGGCTGTGTGGTTGAGTCTGTACGTGACTGTGTGACTATGTGGGTCTCTATGGGTCTCTATGTAACTCTATGGGTCTCTATGGGTCTCTATGTAACTCTATGGGTCTCTATGTAAACTCTATGGGTCTCTATGGGTCTCTATGTAACTCTATGGGTCTCTATGCAAACTCTATGGGTCTCTATGTATCTCTATGGGTCTCTAAGGGTCTCTATGTATCTCTATGGGTCTCTATGGGTCTCTATGTATCTCTATGTATCTCTATGGGTCTCTATGTAACTCTATGGGTCTCTATGGGTCTCTATGTATCTCTATGGGTCTCTATGTAACTCTATGGGTTTCTATGTAACTCTATGGGTCTCTATGTAAACTCTATGGGTCTCTATGTAACTCTATGGGTCTCTATGTAAACTCTATGGGTCTCTATGTAACTCTCTGGGTCTCTATATAACTCTATGGGTCTCTATGTAAACTCTATGGGTCTCTATGGGTCTCTATGCGAGTGTCTATGTGACT